TTCCTTCCCTCTCCTCCCAACTCCTCCCCTCTCCTTCCAACTCCTCCCCTCTCCTTCCAACTCCTCCCCTCTCCTTCCAACTTCTCACCCTCTCCTTCCAACTCCTCTCACTCCCCTTCCAATTCCTCCCCCTTCCCTTGCACTCTGCCTCCCTCCCATTTTGCATGAAAAATATTCCTGTTACCTAGATACAAATTTGCCGTTTTCTATGATGAAAATTTCCGTTTTGTATGAAAATTCTCCGTTTGCTATAATGTAAAAGTTCCGATTTCTGTGATAACAACTCTTTCTTCTCTGATGAAAATGTCCTGTTTTCTATGTTAAAACTTTCCCGTTTTTGATTGGCAAGCTGTAAACTTTTAGTGCAAATTCTGCAAGCTCTTTTAACACAAGCTGTCCCGCAGCAATTTTTACTGTGATTGCTTTCGTCCAAAATAGTGATCCTGTAGTTGGTATATTTCATTCAAAATCTGATCCCATTTAATAGTTAAGGCTTGACGCCACTGGCTCTCTATTTCAGTTATCTTAGACTGATCAGCAAGTTCAAGTGGGAGCTCTGAGAATGGAGGACGTGTGTGACTTAGACAAATATTTGGTGATAGGTTTTTACTTTCTTTGATGTTTCAAGAGAGTACACATTGGAAGTAGCCCAATCGTCTGAAAATAATCTCAAATATAATTTGAAGTAGCCCAAAAAGTAGCAAGTAGCGGAACTCTAATTTTAGTAGCGGACACCCTAAAAAAGTAGCCCAATCCGCTACTTTTTTGCCCAACCTGGCAATCCTAGATGGCAGCGCGATGGTTTATTTTATATGGCATATCCCTGAAAAAAATTTAAATGTTAAATATAGGAGTTATATAATGTTTTTAGTAAACACGAACTAAAGATATGTTATCCAAGAAATACATGTTTGCAGGGTGAAATAATTGAAAGTGTAAATATTTCGAAATATTATCCCTTCAACACCCAGCCTCCTGACCCCAAGGTCTCGTCCTGATCACTTTACCATTTTTCATCATTATGGATAAATTGTTCCGTGTAAAAAACTGTGTGCTTTGTAAAATAAACAAGAGGACTCATCCACATCTATCTTTCCACTGGTTCCCAAAGGAGCAACACAGGTAAGTGTAATGAAGAAAGTTTTGAACCACATTATTTTTATCCTATGAGGTAAGGTTAGGGCCTAATCTTACCTCCCATTAGGGTTAGGTTAGGTTTAGTTTAGTTTAGTAAATTACGTGGTCGAGAAATAGTTCCATAACAGTTAGCCTGGTGGGGAGGCTTATTTAGAAGGGTGTAGGATCATGATTTAAGCCAGAAATGGGTATGATTAGAGAGTTTGCCCCTAATCAAAGGGTCCTTTTTGTATGTGTTCTTTCATGACAAATGACAAGACTAATCCCGGGCATTAGGAACCTTGAGTATAGAGACAGGTTAAAGCATCTTAATTTGCACTCCCTCGAGAGACGTAGAGCGAGGGGCGACCTGATAGAGGTGTATAAGTGGAAGGCAGGGCTAAACAAAGGGGACATTACAAAGGTACTCAAATTATCCAACCAGGAGCGAACTCGTAACAATGGTTTTAAATTAGACAAATTTAGATTTAGGCGGGAAATAGGTAAACACTGGTTTGGAAACAGAGTAGTGGATGAATGGAACAAGTTACCAAATATCATCATTAACTCGAATACGCTGAATTGCTTCAAACATAGGTTGGATGCTTGTATGAGCAATAGGGGTTGGGTGTAAACGGGACTGCCCAGTATGGGCCAATAGGCCCGCTGCAGTTTCCTCCATTCTTATGTTCTTATATCTTTGGCCAAAAATAGGGTGAATGGTATTATTGCATTTTTTCAGAACCATAGAATCGATAATTTTTATTTGTGTAACATACTTAAAAGGGTAAATTTATACTAGTTCACACAACTCTGTTAGAAGGTCAGGTATTATTTTACTTTAGGACATAGCATGCCCGAAAGTTATGAATTACTGAAACATTTAAATTTCTCTATTCTGAGCATTTTGAACCCCATATATATATATATATATATATATATATATATATATATATATATATATATATATATATATATATATATATATATATATATATATATATATATATATATATATATATATATATATACTGTATGTATGGCGGAAATGGATAATAGCGACACAATTTAATTTAATTGATTTTATATAGTTATCAGTCTTTGTGAGATGTTATCGGCGCATCACGCATGCACAATATTGATTGACGTCATCCAGTCGTGACCAATGATGTATCAATATCATCACGCAAATTTTTTTCGACCAATCAAATTTGATTTTTTTCAAAGGAAGCAGCCTGGGTAATTTCATTGACCAGTCTCACAATGGCCGTGGTGAAGGTTGATTGTCATTTGCGCTCCTACGATTATTTTAAGTTTATTGCTGAGTTGTACGAGAAAGACGGTCATTCTATCCAATTCTTACGTATCCTTGGTCCTTCCACTTCTAACTATGTTATTGTACTTTTGGACTTGACGTGCCCCAAAGTTTTTAACTACTGAAACATTTAGGTTAGTTTAAGCAGAGGCATGAACTATGACTGCAAACAACTTGATATTTCCCGCCTCTTCTGATGGCCGTGTAATATTTCAATGTGATTCTAATATTTTAAAATGTTAGTTTTTACATAATGTAGTATTACTGATACGTAATTTGTCTTAGTGTGCCTTATTGTGGGTTAAAATAAGTATATATTAAATGCATCCTCTGAAAGCGTGAATTTGCTACCAGAGTTTAACAGTTAATTCATGAATAAGATTTCTGATAAACTTCTAACGTGCTTATGTTTGAAATAATGAATGTATGTACTGTATCTTATATAATTTAGCTAAATATCTTTCTTGTCAGAAACGGTCATCCCAACAATTATGAATAAACTCATTTAGAAATATATCATTGCTTCAGGACGAAATAGTACAGTCAATCAGCTGTAACTCTTGAGGAGGGAGCGGGGCATCTCTTCACAGCTGGGAAGAAATGCACTATAGATGGCAGGGTTTACCCCGGGTAAAATCGTACTGATAAAGGGTATTTGTTAACCTATCAGAGTACGCATGGGCTACTCTTGAAGAGCGCCGCACTTTCCTCTCATCCCTTTTCCCCTCATTGGATATGCCCAAGCCAGGAATCAAGGCTTGGCGCCTGAACCGCCTATGGCTACAGTTTTGAGGTAATGAGATAGCCTAAGTAATTTACCCGGAACCTGACAAACCAGACACTGTAGCATGAAATTTAGAATTAAGGTATGTAACTATAAGGCATAAAGTCACATTATATAAGAAAGTGTATGTGTGGGGGCAAGAATAAATACATGGTGGAAATGTAAACATTGGCTTCCTTAGGCCTATTCAGTGAGCCCCAGCCTCCCCCAAGTAAAATTCAGCTGTGAGATGTGAGGAAAATTGTTTTGTAATATTGTATTGTCAGGAATAATTTGTGTATTAATATGTAGGAGATATGTGCAGGGATTATACAGAGAGCCTTATATTTGTTGTGATGACATTTTGGACAAGGTAAGAGTCTTGTTAACATGGCATGGGTTATATGATTATTTTACCCTCAATTATTATATTGTAGTATATGAATTATGTGAATAATTATTATTAAATATTTTATGTATGATTTTACTGGGTCATTACTTAAAATTGCCATCAGGCAACTGAATATTGAAAATGGGTTTTTATAGTTTCAATCATCGTGGTAAATACAAATATGACCTTCATTGCCGTGTAAATGAGCAGTAGTTGAGATATTTGAGAAAAAAGTGGAACATCAAACAATGTAAAAACCTCTGATGGGTCTAACCTAACCTAACCTCCCCAAGTTCTTTATAGTAAATGGAATATTTTGTTTGTTACAGATGTTGCAACAAAACTTTGGGAAATTGAACTGCTCCATAACAGTTGAAAATGATAACTGGAGCATGGAATGAAAGCTGTCACCAGGACTATCACCATTGCCACCACCACTACTAGCACCACCACCTATGGCAAGGTAAACTTTCGGAGCAACCTTCACAGCCTATACAGGAAGTCTTTGTGCTCGTCAAACTTTTAAGACAAGTTGTTGTAACTGTGCTCCTATTTAACAGTCAGTGGTTCCCAACCTGTTGACCATGGGGGTAATTTAAACCATGTGAGTTCATAATAACACTAAACAAGGCTTGGCTCTCCTAAAGAATACAAGCACATCATCTAAATGCACCAGTAAAGTCATGAATATTTCGTGGCCAAATATTCTTTCCATCAGATTTTGAAATATACTGGGGGGATTGGTTAACCCGAAAGGCATCCTTCGATACTAGTATATTCCAAATAGTGTGCAGTTTTAGGCTTGTCCTGTTCTCTGACTTTAACTTGATGTTACCCTGACGCTACATCGAATGTGGAAAACCAACATACACCTGCCAAAGCATCCAAAGACTCAGCAATTCTTGGAAGTGGAAATGTGTCCTTGTGGGTGACTGGATTTAACCGCCTATAATCAACACACAATCTTAAGCTCTGATCCTTCTTTTGAACTAACATTATTGGGGAGGCATAAGCACTACAACTTTCCTCAATCACTTGATCTTTAAGCAACTTTTCTATGTGTTCCCTAACCTCCCTGATTTGATCAGGAGGGATCCTACAGAATGGCTGCTTGATGGGGGCCTGAGTGGTCAGATCGATAAGGGTAAAGAAGGGTGAAACCATAACATGTCTTCATTGATTTATATCGTATAAAATACACTGGTAAAAAAAACACATACAACCACACTGTGGACCATAATTCCAAGGCCTGTCCCAGGGTATAGCACTGGCGCCTCTAATATCTGCTGTTGTGGTCGGTTACACTCCGACCCGAGATGGGTTTGGGGTCCTCGGCCCACGAGGTAGAGTAGAGCCGATTAATCATGCCGAATCAGCGCCATCAATCCTATAGTGACCACTGCTGGGTATCCACCGGCTCCGAGCGACCGGTGGGTTTCAATTAAGCCCACCCTCGATCTGGAGACAAACGGGAATCAGCGTCAGGGGAACGAGAAACATGACAACACCAACAAACTCTCTTGTCTAGACGACAGACGTATTTACGTTATATTACTTCTACACTGGGTGAATGACAATTCAACTGTTAAATCATAAACACTGGTGAACACTGATAATCACTACAATTGACTGAATTAACTGAATGGCTAGGAAACACAGAACATACCTGGAGACAAAGGAGCTTATATACCCCTGAGTTGCCAGTGATCGCTACTCACACAATGACAATAATTACAGACAAACTAACTGTTACTCATTCAAAGATGACCCTCAGTTGACAAAGGTCTGGCGAATTACTTGGGTTGATTTACACAGACTAATTCAAGATTGAGCTTCCCAGGAGAAAGTGGAATAAACAACGTATTGATAACTGTCTTCACAAAGGCGGGGCTTACTGGGAGGGATCGCGAGGATAAACACGCTCCTGAGATTCTACAAGCGCGGTGGATTTGAATATTATGTAGCGTAATATGAATTAAACGGGTTTTTAGGGATGACAATGAGGTGCGCAGTACACTAGTATGGTCATTGAATATCCCAGGGCAATTTGATTGTCTTTGGTTTTAAGGATAACTGGCAGAGAAATTCCAATCCGAGTGCTGGAAAAATTCATTTTGACAGGCCGATAAAGTAAACTTTACTCCCCTGTAAGTGATCATTCCGAGGCCATTTCATATGTAATCTCGGTTTTTTGTATATTTTTACATCAACTGAGCTGATTATATTCTTTACCTGAGGTAGAGAGGAGGGGTGGAAGGTTGGGTCTGGGCTGTATCTTGGCACCTGCGTCCTTTAGTTGTGTTGTGAATCACTTGCCATCCTGGTACAGCAGTACAAGATGTGTGGTACAGCAGAGTGCACACCTCTCCTTGACAAGGTCCAGAACCTATTGGAAGTAAAGTCCCTATTTATTACTTATAAAAGGTTTCAAGCAAGATATTTTCACAATACTAATTTATCCTTATATAGTATTGTATAACATGACCCTAAACTGAAGGTTTTATCCTCTATGGAAGTACCACATTAATCCACTTAATCTAGTACAGTAATTGAACTATCAATAAATTAGTGATGCACCATTTATAATAATTCACAACCAGATTCAAAACTTCCCAATATTCTGCCGCCAGATTTAAAACGGACAAACCGATTTTTTATAAATTAGGTAAATTTTTTCATGCAGGTAAAACGGTTATGTCACTATATTATATAAAGTCTCACCAGCAAAGCCAGACAATAAACAAAGCAAAATATCAGTTGAATAGACTACAGCACAGGAGTACTGTATTTAAATAAAGCAATTTACTCAACTTTAGTAATAGTCTTACAGAATTCTTGAAGCTGCAATATCAAGTAATTAAAAGCAGCGGGGTTTTAAATTTAATTGTTGTGGCGTTTAAGTCTACCCGGCACAACACTTAGTCATTAACGCAACTCACCAATCAAGGGTCAACGATTTATAGGTAAATAATTTCAAGCTGTTGGTAACTGCACCCATCCAGGAAGAATACCATGTATACATTGTCTACATTAATCCATTGTACAGTACCGCATATATATATATATATATATATATATATATATATATATATATATATATATATATATATATATATATATATATATAGGCTATATACTGTACGATACAGTATAATAAAAAGTACAGACTAATGTTCTAACTAATTATAATCTAACCAACACCTAAACTTGTTCCAATATACTTACTGTTAATAGTCTGTTCATGTTAATGTTAAATAACCCAGCCCCATCTGGTCTGGTGTTGGAAAACCAGCCAAAGTGCCCAGGAAAGAAATTACTATGGACATGAAAATGAAAGCAGTAAGGGTCGAGGCAGGGGAGCTTCAGGTTAGTAGGAGCGAGGCAACTGTGATAAACCTCACCAAGCTCAGAAAAAATTAACTAGCAAGTGTTACTAAATTGATATTCCTTTATTATTGATATTAAAGTCTCCTCATGACAGCCATTATTGTGTATTGGCTTGAGTTGTCTGCATCAGCTTAAGATTTACTTGTTGTATAGAGACTGATGGAAAATCCGCATATTGCTAAGCAACACCGATTTTTTTTTCTAATGTTCAAGACCTATTTTGGAACATTTAATCATTATTAACTCATTCTCTAATAAAATATAATATTCAAAGGGAGTTATTTATCATTTTGACTAATTTTGTTAAGAACTCCTCTCCAGCCTCAACAACCCATCTTGTTCATTATGAGTTATGATACTGTACCGAGTCGTTCTTAGTTCTAATTTGGGATAATATCGGCAAATAAAATATCTAATGTGCTTATACGATGCTACAGTATATAAAATTATTTCTCGTCGGCGACAGTCTTTACCAGATTATTTCTCTCTTCAGATGAAATAAAAGCTACTTTGTCTGACATGATAATATATTCATCACCGTATAATTAAGTGCTGTAGACAGGCCTGTACAGAGGATACTGCCATGTTATCCAATCAGAACCTCAAGACAATGATCAGTGGCAGTGTGACATTTCCAGAAGTGAACACTTACTGGTTTCCGTAATTACTGTATTTTGCCGATATTAAAGATGTTACCTAGTAATTTCTTAACCCAAAACAAGACAGCAAAATTGCATCAGCTAATAATTTGTTTCCTGATATTGATTATTCCACAAAATATTGATATCTGTAGCCGATATCAATTGGTGAATCCCTAGTATTGTAGAATACTTCATTGAATTTACACTTGGAACAAGAGACAAACGACAAGGCAGTCCATGGGTTACAATTACTGTACTTTATCGAGAGTTTAGTGAAGAAACCACAATGAGAGAAGTCATGTACTGTACCCAACCTGACGTTTTTTGGTGCAGTGCAGGAAGAGTTCACCAGAAGAAAACTATCATTTCTTGCATCCTCCATCTTCAAGTCATCATCCTGGAATGAATAATTATTACAACTTCTGTACTAATAAAAAATTAAATAGTATGCCTACAGTACTCTGCCTATATACAGTACAGGCTACATCAATGCAGGTATCCCCCAATATTCAGTACATATGCCTGATAAACAATAGTTTCAAATGTCTACACTATACAAAAGCAAACAATAAATCCCATTTTGATAACGCTTATCTGTACATGAATGTAAAGATTTTCCCTCAGGAACTTAACCCCCAAAATACTGTAATAATAAAGTAATATATAAATTACTTTCACTTAATGAATGCATTTCCAGGAACAAAATTTTTGTAAATTGAGGGACACCTGTGAACCAGTTTACTGCATAAATGAAGCATTACGCAGCAGAACTTAAGCACCAAATATGAAAAGTGGAGAAAAACCTCAGTTATGCAACCTTATTTTTACCGTAGCTCTTATGCAATACCACTGATTTTTTTGACAATTAAGCTTGGATACAGTGTACAGTATTACAAGTATTATGTAGTCATCCCCCTGATTATACTGGTTAACTGCCCCTACAATGTTTCATATAACTGTACAGTACTAGATTATTGATGAACATTATGCAAGCTATCTGTTAGTGAAAGATGTTTATTATATTTAGAGCTGTTGGTAAGAGTAAGATATAGTAGCATTCAACACTTTCTCCAATTTCTTGAAAGAAGGCCACAACTTTAAAAAAACAAGAGTAACTCAAACAAAACTAAGTTACAATTTTAAGAAACACTCGCAATTAAGAGTCAGACCAATCCAACGAATGTCTACAAACATCAACAGGCCATCAACCCAGAACATTAAATTGCAATTTTTTACAACTACAGGTACATTAAGTTCCTTGTAAAGTTTAATAAACATCAATTAAAAAACACTAACTTCCACCATTATGACTGAGGTAATCCACCTTCACCAGGTATAAAGTTTATATAGAATACAAGTGTAGTTACCTGTAATAACTGTACTGGGAACAATGTACTGTACTGGACAAATTAAGACAGGGTAAAATTGCAGTTTCGGCCACTATGGCCTAGTAGTTTAGAAATTAGTTTATCCTGTGTATATTTTGGCGAGATTTAATCGAATTTGACCTATATTTCCATGGGGAAAATCCCGTTTTAGAGTGCCCCAAGTATGAAAAACTTAAAATTAATTAACGAAATTATTATTCTTTGCCCCCGGGTTGAAATGGGGTTAGAAATACTCCAAATTGGGAGATCTCAAGGTTGGGATGGTTAAAACAACGTGTATTGGCTGAAACTGCAATAATACCGAGACAACTATACGAGTAGAGGCAGGCAAGTCAATGCCAAGGTTGACGCAGGTTATGCGTGTAACAAAGAGGGATCCAGTTACTGTACTTGTGCTAGACAGGACTTAGAGCCATCCAGGGGAAGAAGGGTTTTGAGATGAATAGCATAAAATTAAACTGAGGGGAAGAGACTCCTTGTTGGGTGTATTTATAGATCCCAGAACTGCAGTTTATTAAGCCAAGCCAGTTTACTGGCAATAATACAGAACAGCTTCATGGGTGACCGGCTGGAGGAATTAAATTTCACAAACCGGAATGATAAAATATGCTGTATACTCTCAAACCCACTGACTCGAGGAATACAGAGCCTTTCAGATTGTAGAATGACTGAAAAAGGTTGCCAGTGATTCCAAACATGGTCATATAGCCTCAAAAGTTTTCTACGTGTGGGTGTAACAGACCCAAGACTAAGATCGTAGTTAAGCAGACTCCGATAAGGGCAAGACAGAAGGGTTAAATAGTGTTCACAAGAGGATGCAAACCTCCATGCGTTGGAGGAGACAATACCGACATGTTCTCAGTCAAGTATTAGAATACAAATTTTAATAAAACAATTTGGGTAAATTAATTTATATCGTAAGTTAAAAGGTAACAATAAGGAAAAACTTTGCCGAAAAATAAATAGAAATAAGAATACTGTACTGTACTCAAAATTCTTCGGCGTGGGAAAAAGCCACGGGTTGACGAATCAGGGCGGCCAACATTACTGATTTACTCAATTATATCACAAAAAATACTTTAATATTGCTAAAAGATTTGTTTTTATTTAGGAATAATATAAAACTTTTCAAATTAATTAAACCCTTAACTCATAAAACCGTACATAGAAGAATATAGACGAAGTAATTACCGTACCTTACTGGGGTGGTTAATACTGATTAGCAATAGATAGATAGATAGATGCAGGCGCTCTATTCTCTCAGGGTAGCTGAGGTGCCGAAGTGCAGGCACCAGTCTAGTGGCCCTCCTTTGAACATTTCCAATCAACTGACAGTCCCTAGCATATCTCGGAGACCAGACGGGGTGACAGCACTCCAGGCAGGGTGACAACTCCACGCGGGGTGACAATACTCCAGACGGGGTGACAATACTCCAGATGGGGTGACAGTAATGCAGACGGGGAGGTACCTCACCTTTTCTACGGCACTGTTTCATGCCTAAGCCTAGGCGTCAAGGGTTAAATCCTTAATTGCCTTAAACTGTTTACTAAGTTGCCAACAGTGCGTAACAGAGAGCCAGTATATGCCAACAGTGCGCAACAGAACCAGTACATGCCAACAGTACATAACAGAGATCCAGTACATGCCCACAGTGCTTAACAGAGAGGTGCCAGGCCTCCCAAGCGGCTAACAGGCCGGTCTGTGGTAAAGAGGATAAAGGAAAATAATTCCTATAATTACAATAATAATAAAAGTAAATAAGTCACCCCTATAAATGTTGGGTTTTCTTTTATTGTAATATCAAAGAAAACGTATATTTATAAACAGTTGAGGCTGACATTAAATGGCTAACTTAATAAAATTACTATGAATGGGATTAAAAGCAGAAATTAAATGACTATGAATGAGATTAAAGGCGGAAATTAAATGACTATGAATGAGATTAAAAGCGGGAATTAAATGACTATGAATGAGATTAAAAGTCGGAATTAAATGACTATGAATGAGATAAAAGACGTTATCGTAGTAACAATTAAATGAGTAATAATAACAAAAACAATAACAATAATAAAAATACAGTTCATTTGCGCGGGAAACGTCAAAGAAGAAAAGTAACTGAGAATTGTTGATAACGATAATAATAATAATAATAATATTAATAATAATAATATAGAATAATTATTATGTAGTTAACTCGGGATACAATTAAAGAAATTAGGTTAGCATTTCGGCCAGTGTCACAGGGAGTGGCAGAGTGTCCCAGGGAGTGGCAGAGTGTCCCAGGGAGTGCCAGAGTGTTCCAGGTAGTCCCAGAGTGTCCCAAGGAGTGCCAGAGTGTACCAGTGAGTGCCAGAGTGTTCCAGGGAGTGCCAGAGTGTACCAGGGAGTGCCAGAGTGTACCAGAGTATACTGGGGAGTGCCAGAGTGTACCGGGGAGTGCTAGAGTGTACCAATGAGTGCCAGAGTTTACCAGTGAGTGTCAGAGTATAACAGGAGTGCCAGAGTGTACCAGGGAGTGTCAGAGTATACAAGAGAGTGCCAGAGTTACAGGGAGTGCCAGATTGTACCAGGGAGTGCCAGAGTGTACCAGGGAGTGCCAGAGGCAGGTGAGTGCCAGAGTATACAAGAGAGTACCAGGGAGTGCCAGAGTGTACCAGGGAGTGCCAGAGTGTACCAGGAGTGCCAGAGAATACAAGAGAGTGCCAAAGTATACAAGAGGAGTGCCAGGGAGTGCCGGAGGTACCAGGGGAGTGCCAGACTGTACTAAGGAGTGCCAGAGTGTACCGGGGAGTGCCAGAGTATACAAGAGAGTGGCAGGGAGTGCCAGAGTGTACCAGGGAGTGCCAATTGTGTCCCAGAGAGTGCCAGACTGTACCAGGGAGTGCCAGACTGTACCAGGGAGTGCCAGAGTGTACCAGGCAGTGCCAGAGTATAGAAGAGAGTGCCAGAGCGTTCCAGGGAGTGCCATACCGTACTAAAGAGTGCCAGAGTGTACCAGGGAGTGCCAGAGTATACAAGGGAGTGCCCAGAGTGTAAGGGAGTGCCAGAGTGTCCCAGGGAGTGCCAGACTGTACTAAGGAGTGCCAGAGTGTACAATGGAGTGCCAGAGTATACAAGAGTGCCAGAGGGTACCAGAGAGTGCCAGACTGTACTAAGAAGTGCCAGAGCGTACTGGGATTGCCAGAGTATACAAGAGAGTGCCCAGAGTATAAAAGGGAGTGCCAGAGTTTACAAAGGGAGTGCCAGAGTATACAAGAGAGTGCCAGAGTATACCAGGGAGTGCCAGAGTGTACCAGGGAGTGTCAGAGTGTACCAAGGGAGTGCTAGAGTATACAAGAGAGTGCCAGAGTGTACCGGAATGCCACAGTGTACTAAGGAATGCCAGAGTGTACCAGGGAGTGCCAGAGTATACAAGAGAGTGCCAGAGTGTGCCAGGGAGTGCCAGAGTGTACCAGGGAGTGCCAGAGTGTACCAGGGAGTGCCAGAGTATGCCAAGGGAGTGCCAGAATATAAGAGGAGAGTGCCAGGAGGTACCAGGAAGTGCCAGACTGTACTTAGGGAGTGCCAGAGTGTACAAGAGAGTGCCAGAGTGTACCAGGGAGTGTCAGAATGTACCAGGGAGTGCCAGAGTATACAAGAGAGTGCCAGAGTGTACCAGGAGTGCCAGAATGTACTAAGGAGTGCAGAGCGTACCAGGAGTGCCAGAGTATGCAAGGGGAGTGCCAGAGTACCAGTGGAGTGCCAGAGTATACAAGGAGTGCCAGTGTGTACCAGGGAGTGCCAGAGTATGCAAGGAGTGCCAGAGTGTACCAGGGATTGCCAGAGTATAAGGAGTGCCAAAGTGTACCAGCGAGTGCCAGAGTATACAGGGAGTGCCAGAGAGTGTACCAGAGAGTACCAATGTGTACCAGGGAGTGCAGAGTGTAGCAGGAGTGCCATAGTATTCAAGGGAGTGCCAGAGTGTACCAGGGAGTGCCATAGTGTTCCAGGGAGTGCCATAGTATTCCA